TCAGATGAATTCTGTCTCAAATGTGTTTTACATTAACATGCAGCTGTTGGACACAACTCCATAGGTAATGCAGAATATACCGTGGAATTTTGGCTAAGATTCTTGAATCTTTTTGAAATTGCAGCATATATAAAATCATTACAGTTATTTCTCTTCTTTTTCTGTCACAGTAAACCATTTTTATCTCAACCTGCACATTCTCCCTTTTTTTTCCAGATTCTTTCCCCAGTCCCACTGGGGGAGGGGAGAGTGAGGAAGGGCTGCGCAGCTGGAATGTGGTGCTTACCAGGTTAAACCACAGCAAAGACAGGTCCGTGTCACTTAAAGAAAATGCAAAATGAAAGCCAATGACACTAAATGAAGGATTTTGTTTTTCTCCACATTTGTCTATCAGAACTGAACCTTTTTGCAGCACATCCTGTACTTTGAAAGGCAGATTATACATAAAGTACATACATGCAAAAGATTTTTTTTTTTTTTTTCTGGAATAGAGATTAATTTCATTTAAAAAACAAACAAACAAACAAACAAACAAAAAAACTTGTATAACTGAAATGTCACAAAACAGAATGTGATTTTTTAACTTGCAAGTCAGGTCACTGTGACCTGCGCGTAGAAAAAGCCCCTCAGAAGAGAAGATAACTCAGTAGAAGTGTTTTTTGGCTGATCTAATCTGTAAAACATTTCCAGGAGTTTGTAAAACAAAAGATGTTCATCTCAGGAACATTTGTTTCTCCCAGTCTGTATGGTAGTATTTCTCTTCCTTTGTATTACTATACATACATACAAATACATAGAAAATAATCTGAAAAATGACATATTCAACTCTCTGCCTTCCTGAAGGAGATGAAAACATGCTTATTAATATAAAATGTATTCCCTGGCTTCAGGGTACCATAAGATTACTGCTGTGTGGACCGTGCCGATCACTGATACACACAGTAAGTTGAGGATGACCACATGGTTTCGTAATGGCCAGGACCGGTATGGCATAGAAAAGTGTGGAGATTCACATACTCTGCATAAATCTTTCTTTAGTTCTACACAGAATGTACAATTTTCCATTCTCTCACTCCCACTCCTATGGCAGCATGGTGAGAGAATAGGAAGAGCAAAAGCAAGAGAACTCATCTGTTGAGATAAAGGCATTTTAATAGGTCAGGAAAGGAAAAAAATAAATGACCCGTAAGCATTCACTTCTGATGCAAATCACATGTAAACTGATGCCCAGTAAGTCTCTAAGCAATGTCTACCTTGGAAGATGACATCCCCAACTTACTCCAGCTCCTTCCCTTCCCTCTACTTTCCTTCCCTTTCTTCATCAGTTGTCCCTGCTGCATCTCTGTCCAACATCTTGCACACCCCCTGCAGCATGGGGAAGTTCAGATCCTGAAGGTACTGGGCTCTACAGAGCAACATAAGAGGAAATTTGCTGCTTCCAGACACTCATCTAGATGGACATCTGCAGAGAGAAAAAGTAGAGGGGGAACACTGTGCAGAAAGAGAAAATGATGTGTATTGACTGTCTCATAGACTGCTGTACAAAGCACAGGGAAAGAGGAATATAGGTGTTGGCTGTGCATTTCATGGGAAAGGCCCAGAGCATAAGTTCTCCCAGAAAAATCTTCTTACCAGCTTTTTCTCAACAGCTTTGGCCTCCGGAAGCTCTGACCAAGACACCCTCTGTCTGTACTGGTACAACCACACTAAGGCCAAAACTGTGATCTGCACAATTGGATTCATATCCTGGCGTGAGGAACTGAACAATCGGGGAAAAAAAGATAAAGAAAGACTTAAAGCAGCATAAACCTCTGGACAAAGAAATTTATCCAGGCTTCTAAAATCCTCAAGGATGGAACGTTTGCAAATCATGGACTCATAGACTTACAGAACCATAGAATGGTTTTGGTTGAAAAGAACCCTACAGATTACATAGTTCCATGTCCGCTGCTGTGGACTGGTTGTCACCCACTAGATCTGCCCAGGGCCCATCCATCCTGCCCTCAGAGGCCTCTGGCAATGGGATTTCCAGAACTTCTCTGGGCAACCTGTTCTAGAACTTCATTACGCTATGAATAAAGAATGTCCTTCTAACACCGTATCTAAATCTTCCCTCTTAGTTTAAGGCATTCCCCCTTGTCCTACTGCTGTCAGACCACGTAAAAAGATACTTGTGCTGATTCCATCACCCCTTTCCGCAAGCAGAGAGGCTCTATATCCTGGCTGTTTTCACATCCTCTTGTCAGTTCAGCTCAGGCTGGAAACTTAGAGCAAAGAAAGTTTCAGCTTGTGATATTTCCATACACTCAACCCTGATCAGCTTACTTTATTGAGACTTTGTCGTTCAACGTCAGTCTTGCTGTGCCCCAAGGCAGAGAGCAGAGCTAAGGATCTAAATCTCCCCTCCTTTAATTAAAAACCATTCCGTTTTCACCATGTAGAAAGTTGATCCCTATTATTTTTTTTATGAGATCCTGTTAAGGGAAATGCTGCAACCTGCTCTCCTCAAAGCCTTCTCTTCTCCAGGCAGACCAACTTCAATTGCCATTCTTCAGAGGAGAGGTACTCCAGCCCTCTGGTCATCTTCATGACACTCCTGTGGGATCCATTCTGACAACCACCTATTCTTGTGCTCCAGCCTCAGGTCTGGATGCAGTATCCAGGTGGGGCCTCACAAGAGAAGAGCAGAGTGGGACAATCACTTCCTTCATCCACCTGGCCACATCTCTTTTGATGCAGCCCAGGCTACAGCTGACCTTGTGTCATGGTTCTATGTTTGTTTGTTTGTTTGTTTTATTTTGGGTTTCAGTATTCCACATCAAAACATCATGTAGTGTACAGGGTATTGAAGTGTTAATGCCCAATTCCAGGTACCTATCCCTGTACATTACAGCAGTCACGGGATCTGGCCCTTCTGGGTGGGGGGGCGCTCTCTTGCTGCCTTGCAGTGGGTGCTGGAGGTGCTTTCCTGGCCGTTCCAAGCTTTTCAGGTTTGAATAGGTCCCGAGAACTCTCTCTCTCTCTTATCTTGTCTGATTTATTAATCTCAATTTCAATTAAATTGTATCTATTGTGTTATCTTGTATTCCGATATTATAGTAAAATAAGTTTTCCTCCATAGATTGTTGCTGCTGCTCTTTTCCTCCCTTCCTTCCTTCCCATTTTTGTGGGACTGGGGTGGGGGGGGAGGGCAGAAGCCTGCTGCCCCTGTCACAGACATGGATTGATCTGGTCAACTCCGTGACACCTCAGTACACACCGACGGCTCGCGTAAGTCTTTTCATTCACTAGAACCCCCATTGCCTTCCCCAGGAGTTCTTCTCTCAGTCTGCACATGTCAAGGATTTCCTCAGCCCAGGCGCAGCACCTTGCTCTTGGCCTTTTTGAACCTCATTCAATTACAGTCCAAACCACTGCCATTCACAGTAAGTCTCCCTCCAACCCTGATGGAGTAGCAGTATTAAAAGCCAGCATGCCAGGCTGGCAGTAAAGTCTTGTGGCGTTTTTTTCTTTTTTTTTTTTTTTCAATTAGTTGGAAACAGAAATGCTGAGATACTAACAGGCTGACTCCTGTGCTTACCCCTGCCATCAGAATGGTTACAAAGCATGTTTATCAGTCAGGTGATAGGTGCTTTATATATAAAAATGAAAATGAAAATGAAAATAATGAAAATGAAAATGAAAATGAAAAAAGAAAAATATATGTGGGAATACAAAAAAACCCTGTTTGAACAGCAGCTGTGGAGCAAGATAAACAGCATGAGAACCAAGGAGACCTCTAGAAGAAGAAAGAACATCTGATGGCTCTGATTGGAGAAGTGCCTGCATGAACGGTTGAAGAGCGTTTTGTAGAATGCTCTGCTGTCATGTAAAGATGGATGGGAAAGTTGTAGGGGTGGATGGGAAAGATAGAGAAAGAGAACTTGTGAAGGTATATAACTGATGTGAGAATTTGTAATAAATGATTTGGATTGTTCACCTCTGAATCCATGCATCAGATACTGCACGTATATAAAAGTATTTTAACATTTTATTTATATGCAGACCCATTTCCTAAGCTTGCCCAGGTCCATGTCCCTTTGGTGTAGTCTGCCTACTTGCTGAGGGTGCACTTAATGCCCTTTTGTCTCATTGATAAACACTGGTAAATATGCTAAAGCATGGGTGTCCAACCTTTTGGCTTGCCTGGGCCCCACTGAGTGAAGAGGAATTGCCTGCAGCCTCATCTACAAAGGCTGCTCCAAAAATAGTGTCTCCTAATTATTTGTATGGAAACTAACACAGAGAGCAGAATAACACTGTTTGATAGAGCAAATTCCAAGTTATAAAACATCTTTTTTGCACAGAGTCACTACCATTAGCTATGCATTTTCACCAGTTGTGAGCGAGAGCCTGCATGCTGCACTCGTAAACACCTGCACTGCAGAGGTGACCCACTGTCACTGCTACCACTGTTGAAATGCTCCATCTCCATTCACTGTGCTGACATCCACTGTTTCATCTCAATAAATATTCAGCAACCATCGATGAATGCCAGTCATTCATGAATGCTGGTGCTGAATTGACCTATCAGTCATGAACCTGGCAATTTCTTCTATCCCTCACATTCTGCATTTTCTTATCAACTTCTTCAACACTCATCTACCTCTCCTTCCCTGGATGGCCACCCATATATCCAACTGCAAAGTTACTCATCTATTCTCCTCTACAGCTTCACATATTTCACATTTTTCTGCCATTCACTCCTGCTGGCTCCAAATAGAGTCCACTCCAACCACTGAGATGGGCCACCTGCTTCACACACTATGAGTGACTTCACCCGTCTGTTCTGTTTCATCTGTTCTATCTGTCCTCTGCCCATTTCTTCCTCTGTCAGCACTGATGCTCGTTTTGTCTAGGCACAAAATTATGTCTTCATTTTCCAGCCTGAAACATTTAAAGGAGAAGACATGATGTGTAAGTCAGTGAGTGAGTAAGAAAGTCACGCAAGAGCAAAAGAGAAAAAGAAAAACTTCAATCACCAACATCTGATCATAAATCATGAATACTGAATTAGTAATTAGTAATCAATATACACTCATAGTGAACAAAAGACACACAAAGATGCAAAGCACACTTTGAAACACATCCATTTTTCCAGAATTTCAAGCTATCAGGGCATTTAAAAAGAGTGAAATATGAAAGAAAAATAACCAAAACCAAAACAAACATACAGAGGAGGAGAAAGCTTCCTTTCAGCAGTGCGTGTTTATACCTTCCTCAGGTCAGCTAAAATTTTGATTATCACTGCTTTCACTTCCTTATTCCTCAGGCTGTAAATCAGGGGATTTAGCATGGGGATTATAGCAGTATATATGAGAGACAAGACTTTCTTAGTGTCCTGTGAATTACTGGACTTGGGCCGTAAGTAAATCAAGGTCCCACTGCCATAATAAAGCGTCACAACAATGAGATGGGAAGAACAGGTGGAGAAGGTCTTGCGTCTGCCCTCTGTAGAGGAAATCTTGAGGATGGTGGAGACGATGCAGGCATAGGATACCAGGATGAGACAAAACGGTGTGAAGATGACCAGCACGGTGGCTGTAACAATCTGCTTCTCGTACAAGGAGGTGTCCGTGCAGGAGAGCATGATGAGTGGAGGGATATCACAGAAGAAGTAGTTAATCTTGTTGGGCCCACAAAATGGCAGTGTGAACATCCATGTTGTCTGCACCACGGACACTACATTACCACTGCAATATGACAGCAGGACTAGGGAAAGGCTAGCTCTTCTGCTCATGATGATGGCGTACCTCAGGGGGTTGCATATGGCCACGTAGCGGTCATAGGCCATAGCTGCCAAAAGGTAGCATTCGGTGGCCCCCAAGAAAATGACAAAGTAGAGCTGTGAGGCGCAGCCTACATAGGAAATTTTTCTGTCCTCTGCCTGGAAGCTTACCAGCATCCTGGGGACAACTATGGATGCTGTGGAAATATCCAGGAAGGACAGGACCCGGAGGAAGAAGTACATGGGCATATGGAGGTTGGGATGCAATGTGACCAGGAAGATGAGGAGGTTTCCAGTGATGGTGAAGGTGTAAATCAAGCAGAATGTGAAGAACAGCAAGTTCTGCAGTTCTGGGTGGCTGGACAATCCAGAGAGGACAAATTCCGTCACAAGCGTGTGGTTTTCTAGTTCTCGTTCTTCATTTGGCTTCATCTGGGAGGAATCGAATGAACCAGAGGGCCAGTCGGTACACTGAAATCAGAGTGCTTCAGCCCAGCTGGCAACCAAAACACCGACAGTGCAAAAAAACAAAAGCCTTTTGCTATCTGGGGAGCAGTGGGCACTTCTCTGCTTCAACAATGCCTGCTTGCTCTCTGCCACAATCTCGTTTTTCCCAGCTAAGAGGACTCTACGGAACAGCTTCCGCCTCCTGTGCAGCTTGTTTTGCGGATGTCAGAAGCAACACATTTTGGTCTTAGTTCTTCCTCAGATTTGCTTCATTATCACAGCAGCAAGCATTTTGAAGGAAGTGTCCTACCTTCAGCAGTTCTGCCATCCAGTGCCTTCAAGACAGATGACGTGAATTTCACCAGAAAAATACAGCTTGTTTTCTTCTCTAGGGACAATGTTGGACTGACAGCTCAGATAGACAGCTCGCATTGCAGATTTAAAATCTTATTTTAAATGCAGATGCTGTTCTGCCATCGCTTGGATCATCTGTGACATTAGCACAGGATTTATTTTCCATGGAATACCAGGCGTTCTTTCTCCTAAGCACGATAAATGGATTTAATCTGATACTATCATTCCAGTTGCCAAAGTCTGATCTCACTCTGAAGAAGAAATTTGTCAATGTTTATTAAATTTAGTTATATTGGATACAGCTGAAAAAGCAGAGGCCTTAATTCATCTGCTGATTTATTTATTTATTGTCCAAGAGTGCAGCTGAGCTTCCTCTGAGTCATGAATTACTTCAGGTTTAAGTAGATTCTCTTGAAATCCCCACTGCCCTTCTGGGCAGGATTACTTTCAGCTGGTTTTGGAAAGGTGTTGATTGCTCAGAACTTGAGTCTTCCTCCATAGTCAGTGGGAAGGGACAAAGCAATTATGTATGTCTAATAGTAGATAATTTGCTATTTTGAGTGGCAATTTTATCTTGCTTGTCTGTTATGGACTTAGACATATCATATCTTACTTATTTAACACTATGAGTGATGCATCCTAATGCAAATGATCACTTTTAGCCAAGAGGGTCTGAAAAATAGCCAGGAACATTAGGGGCTTTGTGATTCAGGTGACAGAATTACAGGAAGAAATCCTTGCTTTAGTCTTAGATCTAATTGCTGATCTAGCCTGCTGTCTTTGTCTAATTGGACTGCCTACCTTTAGAGGGAGCATCTGAGATTTCATTCACCTCTAGCTAATCACTTTTCAGCCTTTGGTTTTTACTAATTACTTGTTAACTTTGAGTCTTTCTCCTTTTACCTTCCCTACTTTTCCCTCTGTTACAGTGACACTGTTGTATTCCACATCACAATTCAAGACACTGGCAGAAATAATCATGGTGGTTCAAGATGCCCAAATTATTACTTGGCATAATATTACTGCAATCCATTAGCACAGTAAGGAGGGTGAAAAACCATGAGAGAACATTTAAAGGAACTCCTTTTCTGTATATTTTCCAGCAATCTGGGTTGTGAATTCTGACGTGTAAGCCAGCAAATAGTTGCAGTGTTCTGAACAGTGCTGATGGAATATTAATGCAGTACTGTGCCACTCGTAGCTTAGCGTTTTCTTTGTTGACAGTAAACTGATGCACAGTGAAAGAGAAGAAATTAGACAGCCACAGAGGAGAAAATGGTCATTAATTCTGTGTTCTCCACGCTCAGCCTCTGGGGGGAACCTTCACCAGACTGCGCTAGTTTTCTCAAGGCACAAAATGTCCTTTGGTGGCAGAAAAGTATCCTTACATGGGGATCTTGTCAACAAACAACTGCACATAGCAAATCATCAAAGTAAGAACTACAAACACAACTGTATTATGAGTTCATTATCTCTCTTGTTCTGCTCACTTAATCCTAGGCTCCAATTCTGGCATTCAGCAGTTTATCTTGCATCTTTCTAGATACTCTTAGGGAAGGACCTGAAGATACATCCAGATTTTTTCTCCTTGATACGGAAAAAAGCAGAACGTGATTGCGTGGTACAAAAACTCACAGTTGATCATTACTTGTTGGCATTTACTTGACAGAGAGGTTGCAGTCAGTTTCATTATTAGACTCCTCCTAAATGTGCTGTGGGATTTTTCTCTTCTCGTGTCAGAAATTTGCACTGCAGATACAGTGTACAGATGCACTGCAGATACATCTGGTGTTCTGGTGAATCAAACCACAAATATTCCGCTGAGATGTAGCCGTTTAATCAGAAGGAATTAATGTTCCCTTAGTCTGTTGCCTTAAATCACTTGACATCAAATTTTAGCCACTGGGTTTTCTAACATGAACCAAGAAGCAAAATAAATATGAGATGGAGCCACTGATGAGTTTAGGTTTCAAAAGAAGAAAAAATGAAGAATTTGAACATTTTCAAATAGTAAGAATCCTTTGAATTCAAAGATAAATTTTGTTTAACCATATGACAGCAGGTGAATGAATGTCCTGTGTCCAGTGTGCCCAATGGACATTTCTGATCACCCTTCTTATTATCAGCGAAATGGAGAGCAAGTATTACAAAAATATAGAAAAACGGAAAGCATTCTTACATACTTTTCATGAAAACAATTTTAGAATGCTTTCTTTAGCATGCTGAAGTGATTTAGCTGAAGTAGAATCAGTTGAGCTGTGTTCCCTGATCTTAAGACAAAAATCTGTGTTGCTATAGTAGCTCTTAAAAGAGAGTTCCAAATTTTGAGCTGCTGATCCTAGGTATGTTAAAAGCAAGTAAACAAACGACAACAAAAGCACCACATTCTGAGGAATCTGCTTTCAGTTTACGAACAATGCACCTTTGATTTCCACAGGCAATCAATGCCTCACAGTTACCTGAAATTTTTGTAGGAAAGTCAGATCAACTCTTGTGAGTAAGCAGCTGAATGATGTTGACAGGCATTCCTTCTAAAAGGCAATCTTCATTTATTTTTCCTGGGAATAAAATGAATCCCATTAGATGCTGCTTGTAAATGCGGCTATGAAGTTCAAGTGTGGCCAAATCTGGGTGAACAGAGCGGGGTTGGTCTCTTCCCACCGGTGACAGGACAGGAGGAAACGGCCTGAAGTTGCACTAGGATAAGTTTAGGTTGGCTATCAGGAAACACTTCCTTAGAAAGGGCTGTTAAGCGTAGGAATGGGCTCCCCAGGGAGGTGGTTGAGTCACCATCTCTGAATGTGTTTGAAAACCATTTGGATTGTGGTGCTCAGGGACACGATTTAGCGGAGGGCTGTTAGAGCTGGGGTTACATGGCTGGGTTGCATTTGGACTTGATCTTTAAGGTCTCTTCCAATGTGAGCAATTCTACAATTCTGTGATGTGGATTTAGACAGCTCGCAGGCCAACAGATGGAGATGTGGATCAACAGTATTCTAGTGATGTGGAACTTCTCTGGTAACAAACATTGTTCCTTTCATTGGAGAATAGATCACAGAATCACAGAATCGTAGGGGTTGGAAGGGACCTCCAGAGATCATCGAGTCCAACTCCCCTGCCAAAGCAGGTTCCCTACAGCAGGTAATGATGTTACGCAAATAGGAGGGGAAGAGCCTCTGTCAGTGGTTTATGGGCACAGCTCTGTGAGCAGCAGGGCAGAGGGATTTCACGGATCCGTGCCTCCAGAAAAGGGAAACAGGGGACCCCAAAGTCATTAAAAACAGTGGCAACGATCTGAGGAGAAACAAACTGATTTACTAAATAGGGTATCGGAATGCAAGGTAACACACTGCAATTCATAATATTCATAATACATAATTAGAATTGAAGCTACTAAATCAAATATGATGACAGAGTGTCCGAGAGGTGGACAGGCCTCGCCACAATGCTGAGGTGCAGTGCGCAGTCCGGCTGAGCGGCAGGGAGGAGAGCCTGGCGAAGAAGAGCCCCTCAGGTGACCTGCCAGGAGTTACATCTCCCTCTGACTGCAGAGCCCCCTGGGGCGTGTGGCTCTTCTTCTCTTCCGGACAGGTGCCCGGAGCTGGAGCACTAACAGTTTAACTCCTGGTGCACTACATGATGTTATGATGTGGAATGCCGATAACCAACAATCATAACACCGCGACAACTTTGTCCTGCGCCCCAGCTGCAATTTAACCAGTGCATCTGCTAGCGTAAACTTCCCAGGTTCCCATCCTTCAGCTTTGCAATCAGAGATGGCTCCCTCTCTCTCAGCTTGGTAGGATTTCTCCACCTGTGTGCCATTTCCCTGCACTTTGCACACTGCTTTTGTTCCAGTGGGGCGGATCCCTCCCTGTTACACCCTACTCATCTTTGCCTTCCTCAACCTGTGTCCTTCCCAAACTTTTTACTTTCCAAACTCTCATCATTACATAAACTACTAACGTCATGTTTCAGCTTCACCTCCTCCTCTCCAGAGGCTTCCAGTGCTAACGCTGGGATTTTGGGTTTCCTCGCGCAGCAGTCTCTGTCCCCGGCTCTCTTTCCCACACCAAGTTCTGCTCATGGGAACGGTGTGGGGGGTTGCTCTCATGCCAATGCAGATAAACTCACTTTCTCTTTAACCCTTTTTCCTTTGTACTATTCCACTATTTGTGCCCTCAGTTAAACTTCCACATACCCTCAATTCTACTTCCATATACCATTAACGATTACACTTATACCATCAAAACAGCTTGTCCCATCCCTTCAAAACCCACAAATCAAACAATATAGTACTTCAGTTTCCATAAACACCCTTCATACCTTCTTTCCCCTAACAATCCGTGCTGTTTGGTTATAAACACCTCGCTGCAGAACCAGCACTGAGTGACTCGCCTCCCTCACACACCTCCTCGCAAGCAGAACACAATATTACATAAATGAGTTGGCACTCATTCCCCGAATGGAATGGGAATCTGTCTCTGGGTTCATCGTTCCCATTCATAAATTCCTACAAAAAGGCAAAGACTGTCAGACAATGATCATCGTTACTCCACACTCACCCTGCAGCTGTGCTGCAATGTCTCATGAAGTCAGCACATCCGCTCGCAATCACACACAGTGCCAGCTTTACACTTCACCAAATCAGAGCTCCGGACTCCTTTCCAGTGCTCTGATAGCAATTACTCAAACACACGGTACCGAACGCTTACAGCAGACAGTGATAACAATAACACAACCTGCAACTCCCACATTTCAATTTTACAAGATACCCGCTGTTACCTAAGGGAGAGCTATTGCTCTTCCTCGCGTACGACTTACAGGTCTCCTTCACAGGAACTTCTCCAAGGAGTCTTCCTACTCCAGCCAGCCACCCAATCCTTGAGCTCACCTACCTCGGCGGGGAAGCATGCAATGCACGCTCCTTCATACCCCACACAGGAGGGCTCCTCACGGATTCCCCCTTTGCACACACATACCTGGTCTGCTGATGGGTGGTCCTTGTCTGTTCCCGCAGTGACCGGATGAGGAAGGGGAGTCCTTCTGAGGAATCTCGGGGCGCACCAAAGGCATCCCCCTCTCAGCCGGTCCCGCCGCCGAGCAAAGGTTGTCCCATCTGAAGTGCCAAATGGACATGCAGAAATCAAATCCTATAGCCAGATTAAGGATATAGAGCAGGCATGTTTATTCTAGCAGTGCACATACACCCTGGAGCAAGGAGGATAGATCTGCCTAACCTGCACACCGTGAGGAAAAAGCACGGTACAGATAAAGGCCAAACTAATACACGATCAATTGTTTCCAGGAATTTCGATACATATTTAT